CTCCGGCATGGGCGGTACGTCCGGGGCTTCGTCTCCTGCTCCGCCTCCCTCGAATCAGCAGGGTGGTCACGCTCATACCCCATCTGAGTCCACGGCTGCTGGAAATCTCAACGAAAACCTCAAGAACATTGGCAAATTTTTCCGCCGTGATCTGGGAGGCTTTGGGGGCCGCTTCGGGCGTGGCGCCGATGATGTATAGCTTTGCTGTGGAATTTACTCGCTTCAAAAGCCCTTCGTTTTTATTTTCGTTTGGGTGGCATTGTATTTAATTATCTTCTACTTTCCACACAGATACCATGATCAGATTCTTTGCAATCATGCATGCAATAGACCCCGACTCGGGCTGTATAATGTTTTCACGTACCTACCTTAGGGTAGCATGACGTATTTTCTTTCCTTGACGGAAGAAGGCAGGGCTATTAATTGGCCTTGTTTGCATTCGGTTTGAACAACACTGACCAGGCAACTTAGGGCTATCTAGCGCGGAAAACCTACCATGTCTTTTTTTTTGAATTCCCAACTTACATCTTGGCATCCATTCAGACCTAAATCCAAAGAGTGGAGTAAGTGAGGTTGAAAGAAGAATGGATCTCGCTGAGTCTAGACTTCCACTTTGCGGAGAAAGCCCGCTGTCACAGGCAACACCTGATGGAGTGGGATTCTTTGTATGAGTACTCAGAAGAAGGCTCGGCCTCGGCTGTCCGCTGTGCAAACTAAATCATCATTTTCTTTAACTCAAATATAGAATCACAAACACGGTTCCTTGTTCCTTGTTCCTTGCGAGCCGGTCTGCTCCCATGTCATGGATCCTGTCTCGCGTGGGAATCTGGCTCGACTTGGTCTCGAAGATGCAGGCACCCACCTACCTCATAGTTTACTAATATCCATAGATAGTTTGCCTCTGATAGAGTGTTACTTGGTACGTTCCTCGCAAATCGTCCGAGTGGCGCTAGGCAGAGACACTGTTCCTCGTGCCAGGGCCTGGGGACCATCCAGTGCCTTGCCTCCAACCAAGGATTCCATCCCCCTTTTGCTTTGTACCTTTTGAGGCAATTGATTTCGAAAGAAACTCAGACTTTTCCTATTGTATCGGAAGATTTGAGGGCTTTCTTACACTAGGTTTAGTCTAGTTATTGAGGCTTCTTTGACCCCATAGGAAGAATGAAAGGCTACGGGTAGTTCGGATACAAGGAAGCAGTTGCAGGGTCTAGACCTTTAACAAACGACCTTACAACAAAGGGTACAATGAATTGACGCAATTTTCTTGCCAGGCCTAGAATTTGAGTCCTTGGCCCTTGGGCAGGCATCTTGCTGAGATGGTGGGCTGGTACCACCCACGCCTTCGAACAAATTCTTAGAATGGCCACCCGCCAAGAGACCCTGGAATCAAAATCGTATGAGATTTTTGAAAACCTCTTGGCAACCAAATCCAGACCGGTGGCGAGTGTAAAAGCCGCGTGGCTGGGTGGTTGGGAGGAGAAGGCGACATCGGGACTTGGACTCGGTAGCGAGGCTGACTGGCATCATGGAAAGTTCGGCCAACTTTCGATATGTGGGACCCCCAGATGGAATAGAACTTACCAGAAATGCCGAAGAGGTAGCCTTCCGAAAAGTACCTGAGAATCGGATGTGCGGATCGAGCCTTGTAACCATTTCCTGGGAGATGGCTTGGAGTAGGGTTTGGAGATTGAAGCGCATTCATTCGCGTCGAGCACAAGGAACAAAACTTTGAAGCCGATCTGATGTCAAGGTCCACAAATAACCCATTAGTTCCGGGGATCGACGAACGGGGGCTCGTGCCAGAAAAGTGACAGTTAAGGATAGAAGGATGTAAAACTTTATGAGGACTTCCATTTCCGGCGATGGCAACGTTGTTCGAGACCATTTGGGACCAGCACACTCCACCATCGATAGACTCATTGGCTAACCCCATAATTTCTAGAATGTGTGAGGTCAGTCCAGAAGATCAGAGTTTGAGGCTTGCCACGTCTCCAACGGATCCAAAATGCATATATAAGACAACTTCGTTCTCGACAACAGACCTTCTTTTTTTCTTCAAACTATTACAATCTTTGAGACATCAGTCGTTCTCTCACTCTCTCTTCTTGCTTTTTGTTTTTACAATCTGATTCAATCTCTTATCAGATTCGACACTCTCTTCACTGTCTTTTGATCAGAAACCTTCTTTTCAACACAGTCTTTTTACCACCACTTTCGTCAACACGACAAGTATATTCAAAATGTTTTTCTCCAACGTTGTCATCTCCAGCATCCTGGCTGCCGCCGCCACTGCTCTTCCCCGCCGTGCCCGCGACTCTTCCAACAGCGGCAGTGTTCAGATCGTGAACAACTTCGACACCGACATCTACGTCTGGTCAACCTCCGCTGAGTCCGGTTCTATGCAGACTATCAACTCTGGAGGCGGCACCTACAGCGAGAACTGGCAGACCAACCCCAACGGCGGTGGTATCTCCATCAAGATGTCCACCTCTGAGTCCCAAGACAGCGTTCTCCAGTTCGAGTACACTCTGGACTCTGACAAGCTATTCTGGGATCTTTCCTCCATCAACATGGACTCTTCTTCCGAGTTCGTCAAGAGTGGCTTCGCCGCTATTCCAAGTGACTCTAGCTGCTCTACTGCTACATGTGAGCCTGGCGACTCCAACTGCGCCCAGTCTTACCAGCACCCGGATGATGTCAACACCCTTTCGTGCTCGACTGATGCTCAGTACACCCTGACTCTGGGATAATTGTCTTATTTCCCAATTATTTGATGAAATAAATCCACTCTTTTGCTCTTCCATTTTTATTCCCACGAGTGGGTGTTCATCCCATGGCTGGTTGTGCCGTCGGATCTTTTGATGACCCCAACTTTTGATATACTTTTACTGCATATAGATATAGATATAGACTTAGACTTAAGCTCACGCAGCAACATAAATTGCTGAGTGCGAAATATTATTATTGGACTTTTCTACAAAATTCATATTCTTGTAATGGTAAATAGAGTTTATGGAATGACCATGTTGCCTCATTGACTTTTTGAAATTCTCAAATGCGGCTGCCTTATTCCGACGTCGCCACCCGATTTGTCAGAACTTCATTTGCGTCTAGTATGAGCATTCTAAATAAAATAGCAATATCTGTATCTTAACCTCCATATCTAGGGCAACAAAACAAAATCATGGTCATGGGCACCTTGAAGGTAGTCATAACCCTCCGGCATCCACTCCACACACGGCACAGCATCTCGCCATTTCAACTTATGTCTAACGCTAGCCGGTAATCTCATTTTCAAATTACTCCGATACCAGCGAGGGAACTGCACCGAAACAAGCATGACTCGCGGCTCATCGGTCAGATTCGGTCTACCAGCATGCCACAGCCTAAAATCCCGAATGATCAGAGATCCCTTAGGCAAGCTGGGCTGAACAGGTGGAGAAATCTTGCGTCGCTGTTCTTGGAGTTCGGGTTTAACTTTCATGCTGTCTTCCGAAATGTGGAGAATATCCTTGTCCGTGTCGACGTGTGAGCCCAGCCAAACTTCCGTAGCTCCGTTTTCTGGAGTCGTATCGACGAGGTTGATATTCACGCAGTATCCGAACGGAACTTTGGGGAAGTCGAAAGTAACATCTATATGCGGGGGTTGTCGATCTGTCGCCTTGAAAGCAGTGTTGGCGCTGTAAAATCGCACAGTCGACTGTGGTCCAAGCATACACTGAATGGCCTCTGTTGCCCACGCATTTGCGATGACGTCGTCGAAAATGTAGTCATCTTCCAAGATGGGCTCCTGCTGGATGTTTCCCGTGTTTTTACCAAAGTTGCGGTGCGTTTCCGGTCGTGCATAAAGGTCTTTAGCCTCGGGTATCATTCTAGCATTGAGCTTGTCCAAATGTGCGATGTTCACGGCATTTTTTATCGCAACGATCCCATCTCGATGAAGGGCTTCGACCGCAGCTTGGAGGTTGTGCGAACCTAGCTTCTTGGAAGCGAGTTCGCTGGGACTTAGCTCAATGAGTGTGACCCGGGGCTCTTTGGGCTGTTCTGTCATGTTTGAAATCGATTTCGTCGGATGCGTTGAAGTTGGATAGACAGTGCAGTAGTCCTGGAGGTTGCCCAGGTGGTTGTGAATAGGCTGTCAAGCTGATACTTATATTTACTTGCACATGCCTACCCCAATCTCTTAAGACTAGCTAAGTATTTAGAGACGCTTTCTGTGAAATTTATGGCTTACCAGGTAGCATTGGATAGCAATAGCATGCGGAGAAATCGCCGAAATTGCCGGTCATTGGCCACCGACGTCGCCAGGTGGGGGTAGCCCTCATGCCAGAAGGGTGTACATACTCGATTAAGCGGCGAGCCAGAATAAATTCGCTGACAAGCGATGCTACGTTATCTACGACTTTATAAAGGTGAACAATCAAAATAGGTAGGTCCGAAATTGGTTGATTGAAACTAATTCTAGACACTAAAATCCTCATCTAACATCATAAACATCCTTTGCCACCGCAATGCAATAAGCTCTACGATAGACACGATTGCTACAGAGTGTCCGCGAAGAAACCTGTCATCTGAGAAGATATTAGCAATTGTTTCAGAATCAAGTATTGTAAGAGTAATGAAAGCAAATTGAGGCATGGCGTCAGCAAAAAATTAGAGTGTTGTTGTTGCAATTTTTAATCGTCAGTGCGGCCCTTACGCAAGGGCCGATTGCTCGGGGTTAAAAAGGTATCATCATCCGCCAGGGTGAAAGAATTTAAAAACAAGGTGGTGGGCAAAACAGTGGGAAGTAGATAAAAGAGAGTAAAAGTCAAAACTCACCAATTATAGACGGACAGATAATGGATCGTGTTTCTACGTTCCATTAAACATGTCAAGGAAAGGTCATAATTGAAGCCGTTGCCAAGTCGTCGTAATTTCATTCCCCAGCCGTATTTCAGGCCTGGGTTAAATAAAAGTATCTAAAACATGGCGTTCGTATCCACCTAAGGACGATGCGCTTAGTCGAAAAGACCGAAGCCCATGTCGGCATCGGACTCCTCCTCCTCCTCAGCGGGGGCAGCCTCGGCGGGAGCATCGGCAGCACCACCGGCGGCGGCGGCGGGAGCAGCAGAGGCGTAGGCATCGGGGTTGGCGATGCGGTCCTTGAGCTCCTCAATCTCGGGCCAGGTGATCTCGGTCTCGAGAGCGACAGCAAGAACCTTCTTGTAGGCGTTGACGATCGAGTGCACGGTGGCAGGGATGGTGGGGATGTTGGTAGCCAGAGACAGAGCAGCAATGGTCTGGATAGCAGCGCTGAAGGTCTTCAGGAGCTGATCCTCACCAATGTCGAGAACGTCGGCACCGAAGATCTGACCCTGGTCGTAGACCTGGGTGATGGTCATACCGTAGGTGAAGGGAGAGATGTTCAGCAGGTTGAGCAGGGAAGCCTCGGAGGCACCGACCTTGCTACCGGCCTCAATGAGCTTGAGGTCGGAGACAATCTCGATGGTACCACGAGCAATCTTGGTGGGGACACCGAGAGCCTGGAAGAAAGAGGTCTTACCGGGCTCCATACCAGTGTTACCGGCGGGGACCCAGACATCGCCGGGAGCGAAGGCACCAGCACGGGCGGGGGCGGCGACACGGTTGGCCAGGATCTTGTCCTTGATCTCAGAGAGGTCGCTGTTGGTGAAGATGAAACCAACGTTGCCCTTAACGTGGGGCAGGAGACGCTCCCAGTCGGGGTTCTCGGTGACGAAACCCTTCAGGGCACGACGAACCATGGTGTTCTTACCCATGAGAACGACGGCCTCACCACGGAGAGAAGCACGGATCTCGTGCATCTGCTGGGAGGAGACATTGTCAACACCACAGATGAAGATCGAGCTAGAGCCAGAACAGTCAGTACAAGCTATTGCAGAATCATTGGATCGATCGATCGTACCGGTAGCCCTCGAGCTAAATTAGACATCAATTAGCATTTTGAACCACAGCGAGGAAAGAAGTCTCTGCGAGAGAGACGGCGGTGTAAACATACCAAGCTCTTGAGCTTGTCGAAGTAAGCGGTCTTGGCTGCAGACTTGCCCCCCATTTCTTCTTATTTCGTTGAAGATAGGTTGTTTAAGGGTACGTGAATTGGTTGTGGAAGAGAAATTACGGCTTTGGGGAATTCTTTTTTTCGGTGCGGTTCGCTAGTGGGTCACATGACCGTGGTTGTGGTTACCGGAAATACGTTACTGCGGGCCCCCGATGGCGGGCGCTGCGGGAGCAAGTAGAGAGAGAGCGAGGGAAAGAGATATCTGAACACTGGTTTTCAAGCAATTGTCAATACCTTTGTGGAAATCTTTTTTCTTCCTTTACAAGTCTTATTCTAATTGGACTTTCTGTGATTTTTTTAACCTCGATCTCATTGACTACCTTTTCACGGTTCCCTATTGGGTAACCTCGAAATTTTTACCAGCAAACGCAATACCCCAACGGCATTATGGCAAGCTTCCAGCACCCTTTCCAATGCGTGAAGTACACCAAACAACAGCCTTCAGGCTCTGCGGGACTCTTGGTGGCTTCAGCGGGGCGACGTCTTTACTCGTATTCCGCAGTCGATGGCCAATGCCTGGACGCATGGCCCAAGACTGTAGAGTCGAGCTCCGAGTTTGCTTCCAATGACCAAGCACCTGCGGAGAAGAGGAGAAAGATCTCGCCAGCTCCCGATGCTCAAAAAGAAGAATCGAAAGAGAAGCCTTCGACCAAGAAAGCCTCGGGCAATCAATTGCCAGAGTGGACCAACATTCCTATTCTTCTTACGTCCTCCAATGGCAAGCATGTTGTGGCCCTAACTGCCGATGACAAATGCATTCGAGTATTCAGTTTGAGTGAAGATGGAAAGCTAGATGAGATCAGTTCTCGGTAAGCAGTAGCCTTACAATTCTTCTCATGGATCAATCAGTGAGTACTGACAGTGCGAAAAGGACGATGCCCAAGCGCCCAAGTGCGTTGGCCTTGACACCTGATGGACAGACCATCTTATGCGCTGACAAGTTTGGGGATGCTTACTCCTTGCCTCTGATTCCTGGGGAGTATACTCCTCGCGTGGAGGAGGCAAAGGCCTTTAAGCCTGCTGCTACGAATCTCACTGTGCATTCGCAGCGCAATCTACAAACTCTAAAGAACCAAATTACCCAGTTCGAAAAAGAGGCTAAAAAGTCTTCTTCGAAGGATAGCAGCACCGATGAAAACGTTGCGTCTGGTTTCGAGCACCAGCTAATTCTGGGCCATGTTTCCTTGCTCACCGACCTGATTGCCGTGTCTTTGCCCACGGATGCATCGGTGAACCGAAGCTATATCTTGACTGCTGACCGTGATGAGCACATCCGTGTGTCACGCGGTCTTCCCCAGTCGCATGTCATTGAGAAGTACTGCCTGGGTCACACTTCTTTTATCAACAAGCTTTGCGTCCCTTCCTGGGCACCGCAGTATCTCATTTCCGGTGGCGGTGACGACTTTCTGCTCCTATGGAAGTGGAACGAGGGAAAGGCGCTTCAAAAGGTCCCTCTAGAGGGTGTGTCCCAAGAATCTGAAATTAGTGTTCGGGGCATCTGGGCTGTTTCGGCCGAGCAGTCCGCAGGGTCCCCCGTGCAGACTATTCTAGTTGGCCTTGAAGGGTATGTGCACATGATCTTCAATTGCAAATGTTCAACTAAGCTAACATACGTAACAGCTCTTCAACTCTCCTCTGCTACACTATCGAGGAAGACACTCTCAAGCACCAGGATACCATTCAGCTCTCGGGAAACATCCTGGATCTAGCTGGTCTTGACTCGCGGGGTTCAATTGTTATCTCGGTAGACAATATCCGAGAATCCGGCTCGACAGAGGCATGGAAGAGCGGCCCTGAAGTACCTCAAACTCTGCTTGAATATTTCCAAGTCACCACGGATCAGGGATCGCTGAAGTGGAACTCAGCAGAAGACCCATTGGTGGCCAACATCAATGCCGCTGGCACCTCGGCTATTGCCACCGATGTCGATGACAAACAAAAGAAGGCACTCGACGGCGTGCTGTACAGTGGGGGAGTTCTTCGGAAGAAGCAGTTTGGTGAAGACCAGTAGTAAATCCATAGTGATGATGAGCGATTGAAGGAATGATAATCTAGGTGCGTTTATAGATCACAAGATCAGTCCTCAATACCACTAGTAGGCACTAGTATCAAGAAATTCTTCAAAATATATGGATTTATCAGTATCTCAATAAATGAGCATGACGACAGACTTTTTCTAGTAAATTTAATACGAGATGTTCAAGTTGGTTCTAGATTCCGGTAGGTGTGAAATATAATGTTGCTAGCATTCCTAGTCCCTCAAGGTTCTCCCGGCGGCAGACCAAATCTTTGGCCCGCGACTCCCCGAGAATCCTCCACTTCCCCTCCTCCAACTGCATTCAACCACCCACCATGCAAGAACAATTCGAGCCCCTTAAGAACGATCTGCTGCTGAGAGCTGCACGAGGTAACCCGATCCATGGCATCCTGTCAATTTTCGATCCTCAGACAAATCACTGACAAATCACAGGCGAGAAGGTCGAGCGCCCGCCGATATGGGTGATGCGACAGGGTGAGCTTGATCCCGTGCCCATTTTTCTTTCTGGCAAATTGACTCTGCAGAACGATTAGCTGACATATTATTCTTCCTCGCCAGCTGGTCGCTACCTTCCCGAGTATCACGAGGCTAAAGCCGGCCGGGACTTCTTCGAATGTTGCCGCTCGCCGGAGGTCGCCTCGACTTTGACCCTCCAGCCCATTGACCGCTACGAAGGCCTCATCGATGCAGCAATTATTTTCTCTGATATTTTGGTTATCCCGCAGGCCATGGGCATGACGGTGGAAATGGTGGATAAGAAGGGCCCGCACTTCCCTGAGCCGCTCCAGTCGCCGACTGATGGACAGTACGAGAAGGTGATGGCGAAGGAGGTGGACGTCAAGTCTGAATTGGATTACGTCTACAAGGCCATCTCCCTGACCCGCTTCAAGCTGAAGGGCCGCGTTCCTCTCATCGGTTTCTGCGGTGCGCCATGGACTCTGCTGTGCTATATGGTTGAGGGTGGCGGCAGCAAGCTCTTTGTGCAGTCAAAGACTTGGGTCTACAAGTACCCAAAGGAGTCGCAGGCTCTTCTTCAAAAGATTGCGGAGATCTGCGTTGATTACCTGGCTCTTCAGGTTCAAGCTGGTGCGCAGCTGGTGCAGGTGTTCGATTCGTGGGCCGGTGAGCTCTCGCCCACCTCTTTCCAGTCGTTCTCGCTTCCCTACCTCCGTCACATTTCCGCCAACTTGCCCAAGCGGCTGCAGGAGATGAGTCTCGATCCCGTTCCCATGACTGTCTTTGCTAAGGGTGCTTGGTACGGTCTGGATGACTTGTGCCAGTCCGGCTATAATGTCGTTGGATTGGATTGGCTGCACGATCCCGCCGATGCCATGCGCATTGCCAACGGTCGGGTCACTATTCAAGGTAACGCCGATCCTGGTATGCTCTATGGTGGTCGTCCTGCTATTACCGAGACCGTGGAGAAGATGGTTGAAGGGTTCAAGAAGGGCAAGCAAGGCTGGATTTGCAACCTTGGACACGGTACGTTAAGATTTTGATACATGTTGTTATACAATGCTAATATCCGAGACAGGTGTCACCCCCCTTCGTGGACCCGGAACACCTCAAGTTCTTCTTTGAGGAGATCCACCGTCTCACGGCGGCTTAATTTGAATCATTATTTGTTTCGGACAGAAGGTGGCTTCCTTACCACCCCCAGAGAGACGGTCTAGCAAAAGCTTCATGATACACAAGATATCTCTGGATTTGAATATAAATGAGATTTGGATGGGATGATGAAGTCCCACCTCGCTTGGGACTATAATGCAATTAAATACAACCTTGATAGCGGCTCTAGACGGCAATATCCTCATTCCTATATGGAAGGTACTCTGGTCAGCAGGGCTCAAACAGAAGATAGGAGCACCGTGGTCCTCATCCGCATGCAACTTACCAAAGCTCTGGCTTCTCCTTCATAAATTTCTCCATGAGATCCTTGCACTCCTGGTTGTCGACGACAATAACATCCTTACCACGGCTCTTGAGCAACTCCTCGCCACCGAGGAAGTTCTTGTTCTCGCCAATGACCACACGCTTCACCTTGTAGAGCAGGCAAGCACCAGTGCACATATCGCAAGGTGACAGGGTGGTATACATGGTTGCACCTTCATAGGCGGAGGCGGGCAGTCGGCCGGAGTTTTCCAGAGCAGACATCTCAGCCTACGTGAATGGTTAGTTGCGATGTTGATTAGATATACAGAATGACCGGGGTACTACTGACATGCAGAACCGGGCTGCCCTTTTTGCACGCGCATGTTATGGCCTCGGCCCAGGATCTGACCATCCTTGGAGACCAGCGCAGCACCAATGGGAACACCGCCCTCGGCGTATCCCAGCTTGGCCTCCTCAACGGCGGCAATGAAACCAGGCTCTTGATCCATCTTTGGTTATGGTTGATGATAAGATATCTTTTTTTTATGCAAAAGGTATTGTGTCTGCTGTCTGCGGAGGAGTCACTGGTATTTTATGGTAACATTCTACGCCCAGACCGCCGACTGGGGCCTTTATCTAGCAAGTCCAATCCATCGGAGAGGCCCGCTCGCATTGATTCCAATGGCTGTGAGGACTGGAGCAAGTGGATCAATTGAAGAACTTTTCCCCCTCGGCTTATCGATAACCACTGTGGCTGACCAGATTTTGATGTGGCGGGGGAGAGGGGGGGAAGTACCGTACAAGAGTGAGTTACAATTGGCCTAACCATGAAGAGTTAACTCTTTACATTGTATATGTATGTACAAGAGTACATCAGCCGCAAATGTTTTCAGCCCTACAGTAAACCTCAGAATGGTTCTTCGCCACCCTTTGGGGATCCGATAAGTATTTACCATGGAAATATACCACAGCATAACCACATAACAGAGACTTCGAACCTGAATAAGCGCCTGAGTCAGCATGTAATTACAGGAAACAAAACGACGGAATCGCGGAGAAGAACAGCGAACGCCATCGAAGGCCGCAGAATTCCGTCGAATCGACGCTCGGGCCCGATTCAAAGGCAAAGAAAGAAAGAAAGAGGATCAATTCATAGAAAAGCAGCCACTTGACAGAGCAAGAAGTGAAACTTGAAAAACCTCTAGAAACCTCATCTTCTTTTTCTTATCTTGAATCTTAAATATTGAATTTGAAAGGGTCCGCGCCCTGGTAATAAATCCGGTATATTTTACAGGATCCGTACAGTACAACGAGGTGCCTGGGCAGAAAAAAAAAAGTTACTCAGCCTACTCCTGTTCCTAATCCTATTTGGATTCCACTCCATTCCTATTCTTATCCGAAAAGGTCATCAACCCTCCTTCCTCCACTTCTCGGGCACATCTCGCCTTTTTCCTCGTCACTGCCCCACTAGGAGCAACCTTCATTTCACTCTTTGTTTCCTCTTTCTCCTCACCACTCTCCCCTCTCCTTTCGTTCTTCCGTTCTTCCACATTCCCGCCATCATGGTTAAGGAAACCACTTTCTACGACTGCCTGGGGGTATGCTTGAATTCCGCTCTTGATCACCGTGTCTACACAGTGACGCTAACCGGTCCTTTTTTGTTTCATCAATAGGTTCCCGCCACGGCTACAGAGGCTCAGCTGAAGACCGCTTATAAGAAGGGTGCTCTCAAGTACCACCCTGGTGCGTTCCCATTTCTAATCCCCCTCTATCTCGAAAGATGAAAACCCCCAGCTGCCGTTCGCTGTCGGGTTTCCAAATGAAGAATAAATTCCTCCGATGCTAACCTCTCGTTCGTCAATACAGACAAGAACGCTGACAACCCCGAGGCTGCGGAGAAGTTTAAGGAGCTGTCGCACGCCTACGAGACTCTCTCCGACCCCCAGAAGCGTCAAATTTACGACCAATATGGTGAAGAAGGTCTTGAGGGTGGCGCTGGTGGCCCCGGTATGAACGCTGAGGATATCTTCTCCCAGTTCTTCGGTGGTGGCGGCGGCGGCTTCGGTGGAATGTTCGGCGGTGGCATGCGCGATACCGGCCCCAAGAAGGCCCGCACTATCCACCATGTGCACAAGGTCAACCTGGAGGACATCTACCGCGGCAAGGTCTCAAAGCTGGCCCTGCAGAAGTCAGTCATCTGTTCTGGCTGTGATGGCCGTGGTGGCAAGGAGGGTGCTGTTAAGGAGTGCTCCGGCTGCAACGGTAGCGGTATGAAGACCATGATGCGCCAGATGGGCCCTATGATCCAACGCTTCCAGACCGTCTGCCCCGACTGTAACGGCGAGGGCGAGATCATCCGTGACAAGGACCGCTGCAAGAAGTGTAACGCTAAGAAGACCATTGTTGAGCGCAAGGTCCTCCACGTCCACGTCGACAAGGGTGTTCGCGATGGCCACAAGATTGAGTTCCGTGGTGAGGGTGACCAGATGCCTGGCGTCATGCCTGGTGATGTTGTCTTCGAGATTGAGCAGAAGCCCCACCCTCGCTTCCAGCGCAAGGGCGACGACCTGTTCTTCCAGGCCAAGATCGACCTCTTGACCGCGCTTGGTGGTGGCACTATCCACGTCGAGCACCTCGACGACCGGTGGTTGACCGTCAACATTGCTCCCGGCGAGGTTATCACCCCTGGTACGTTTCTTTCTTTTTTTCCCGTCTTCGCCCATGTGACTTTGGTGGAACTTTGCTAACCACTCCTCGTTGTAGATGCCATCAAGGTTATCCCCGGCCAGGGTATGCCCTCCTTCCGCCACCACGACCACGGCAACCTCTACATTAAGTTCGAGGTTGAGTTCCCCAAGAAGGACCAGCTGCAGAACCTCGAGCTTCTCGAGAAGGTCCTGCCCCAACGCATGGAGCAGACCCAACCCCCGGCTGACGCCATGGTTGAGGACTTCGAGCTGCACGACATTGACGGCAGCGAGCCCTCGCAGGCCCGCGCCCACGGTGCTGCAGGCGGCATGGATGAGGATGATGATGACGTTCCTCCCGGTGCCGAGCGCGTGCAGTGCGCCTCGCAGTAAACAATCAATGGGTGATAGAAATGTCCCATTGATGTGATGCTCAGGGGAGATGAATTGTCGAGCCAGTCATGAAACCTTTCGCTTATGATACCAATGGATATGAAGGGGGGGAGATGGGAAGCCAGTATTGCTAATGGATACCGGCTTCGTTTTTCATTATTTCTTTTTCGGGTAATATGAAACTTTGCTGCTCGGCGAAGGCGTTTGCTGAAGGGCCTCTCTCGGAGAGCGAACCTCTCCGCGATGTTCCTTCACGGGGTTATGCCTCATAGTTTCTTATTCCCCATTTTTCTTCTTCCTGGGGAAATCAGATCCGATCTACCATGGACCGGGATATCTCCGTCTCACGTCTTACCTCATTTTCCTTTTGTGTTCTTTCATCCGTATCTGATTTTGCCATTGGGAATTTCTGGTGCGTGGTCGCCGGAGTTGCGACGGACGAAGAGAAAGAGCTGTGATGTGATGTGATGTGCATGAGTCCACGATGCGAGTCCTTGTATATCCTTGTGTGGGATAAAGGCTTTCGAAAAAAACACCTGCTGCCTCCTCTGGTTCCCATGATCGACTCGGAGAAGCATATTGTGGGCGTGATCACGATGGGGGTTTATTGTTTTCTATTTTTTCTTTTCTTTCCTTTTTTTCTTTTTCTTAGCATGCACTGTGATGACTGAATAGACATTTCTTGGCTTACTATTGTTAAATGCATTTTTTTATTGGCATTGACCCTGGAAGTTATGTTGTACCGAATGTGGTGGGAGCAGCTAGTTCACTTGCCTCTTCAAGTTGCTTCGATTGAATTCACTTAGAATATCTTCTCAAACCTGCAATTCTATGCCATACCTAGGCAACGTTCTCTTAAAACTCTACAATTCGAATTAATATAGCTCCTAGTCGGTTCATTGCCCATGTAGTTTATGCCCAGTCCTGGAGTGGTGGTGAGGCTCCCAGGGTCGAGTGTATCAGGTCAGAAGAATCACTCTTTGGGGTTATAGCGTTTTTGAGTGAAATCAACCCCAGCAAGGTCCTTCGAAACCCAAGGAGATGATCCACAACGGTAATGGCGTATACCTTAGTAGCGGGGTTTCCCACAAGGTACCTATCCCTGGATAATAACTACTTCAATCCTGGATCTTTGAACGCACTACTGGTGCATTTCAACATTCGGGCAAACTTTGAAGTTGATCAGAGTAAATAAGCACTCTGAAATGGGCTACTACCTAGACTCGAACTCAAATAAAGTGAAAGGACTCAAAGGAGAAACTTAAGTCAATTTATTCGATGTACTGCTACTAATAGTACTAGTACCAGGTTCAAGTTGGAGTTGCTGACAAAATTCTAATATATACTACTAGGTATCCATGGATGTTACTAGTGCAGCCGAAAGCTTCAGGACATGATCTTAATCGATATATACCTCGGTATATGTCATGGTCTCGTGAGGAAATTACCACGCTCAGGTTTGTGTTTTTACAGAACAATACTTGAAAGTTTCAAGTTGGAAACTTGACTGGAAATCTCAGCAATATTTCTTGTACTCCGGACCATGGAATCCGCGAGGAAGAACGGTGGAAAATATGTTGACCCATAGTAGTGCCCGCCCAATTTACGTGTCTGAGGCTCAAGCTGACTTGAAGGTTAGTACTACCTAGGTAAGATATGAAATATTATGGAGCTATTCATTGAAATAAGATAGTTATCCACAGCTGACTGGGTGGTATTTCGCGATAATGGTCTGTGGTTCCAAATGTGTCTGCCATGAAAGCTCGTATAGCAGCTTGAGGCAAACCACTAGTTTTGCTTTTCTGTGCAGCCATGCTCAACAGACAGAAAGCCGAGGATTGCTTATTCTGGGTGAAATAAATCACGATGGGTATTCCTCGGGCTTACGAGAAAGTGACCCTTGATCTTGCCAAAAGAATATCGCTCTCAACAACTACGGGGGTCATACTAGCCCTCCGCCACAACGCCATTCCAGACGGATTTCTTGGTCTCCCCTCACGACTCAGAATTATATATATCAGCAGATCGGCTTATGCTCACGGTATTCGAGCGCCAAGCTCGCTTGGATCCGACCATCTGGAGCGGTATAGAGGTCACTCCCTGTCATTGTGTCATCCCGCCTCGGATCGTACCCGACCACATCATCACGAGACCCCGAAACGGAGAACTATGAACGGAGCCTCCATGGCACGGAAACTAGTGGAGAAAAGTAGAAGGATGAAAGGCCCCTCGACAGTTTATCACTGTCATCGCCGAGGTTGTGTAACTTTGAGTCGGTCGATCCTTTTAGGGGATATAATGACGACACAGGTGCACGAGGGTCTGTCCACAAAGTCAAACAAATCAGTCGCACAAGCCTTGCAGCAACCGCGAGAGCCCCTCCCACATGGTTTCCCATGGGAGAAATATGTAGCTTAGCATCAGCCAAGCAATTGGAGAGAGGTACGGGCGCAACGAACGCATCGGAGGCGTTGTTCTCCCTTTCAAATATGAGGACTCGGAGTTAAGCGTTGAAAGAGGTTGTTGTTTGTTGTGTTTTGAATGCGGCATTTATTTCCCCTTTCTCCGGTACGGACTACTCCGTACTCGTAGATATTGATTTGTTTGTTCCGTTTCCCCCTGACTGAGCCTAAAGGTTTTTTAGTTCGAAGTTAATTTGGGAAGGCGGTGTTTGATGGTGAGGGGGAAGACGAAGGGAGCTGAACGGCTGAAGTGATGCGCCACTCGAAGCGGGAGACGGTGGGAAGCTTGTCTGCAACGTGCCATTTTAGTCCAACACGCAAGTACTCGGAGTTAAGCTACGTTAGGTACATTGGCAGCACCCCATGATCTCTCGTATTGAACCGAGCTATCGGGGCAAAAAAGCAAAGAAAATAGAACTTAGGGGGATAAAAAAAAGGCAGCGATGCTGGAATGGGATTGGGTCGCATTCTGAGCCGGGCGTGAGCAATTGGGGCCCTTGGAGGTCGGCATGATCTCCAATATGTACAGACATGCGACATGCATGTATCACACCGAGACAAACGTGGTGCCATGGATAGGGCCACCTGCCGTAGATAGCAGGTGTGTACAGTATTATCGTAAGAGGGGCTACGTACCTCTCCAGAGAGCAGATTGATAGACACGACACGCCCTCGTGGCCGGATTTAAAGTTATGGGCCGCAGCCGCGCTTAAGCTATGATGTGATATCGATCTGAAGCACGCCTTGGGTTAATGCAAGTGCTTAATCAGGATGGCATGGAATATCCATTGGTCTATGTTTATCTCGAACTTGAACGTTGCGACGCCCGTTGTGCATTACGATGCCCTCATTCGTCACACACAAGTCCCAGAAAGGGTCCTGGGGGAGCGCACGAGGAGCGAGACGGGTTGACCTATGGGTTCGCACGGTGCATACACGCCGATCTGGAATCCCAGATCCGAGGAAAACGAGAGAAAATAGAGCGAGCGGAGAGAGTGACTACTCGTACCCTTTGTTACTCCGTGAACCAGGGACCTTACGAATATAGCAGGGAGCGTCGCGGCAGTTCCACCGCCAAGGGGGAGGAGTGGATTGGTTGCCACAGGGGAGCGGGAGAATCGAGAGTTCTAGAGTGTTCAGACAGAACGGTGAAGAATGGAGCAGACAGTGGCAGTGTCGGAGTCCCGTAAAGCTTACCTTTGACGGCAATTGGATACGAAGGGGAGCCGATCCACCGAAGGCAAACGAAATGGGAAATTTTTGCTGTCACCATCGAAGTGGACGATTTCACCATCAGCACAGGCGGTGATTGGATCTGCAGCCCCACGGTTGATCAACTCTTGCCCGCGTGGGAGACGCCCTGATTCGTCATCTGATGCTTGGCATGGCTGAGGTAATCTCCGACGATCGTGGGAGTTGAGGGCATACTCGTGGGCATACTCTTATGTACAAGCAGTTGAACTCGTTATTCTGTAGATATAGCATAAATACAAGTGTTACGTAGTACATCATATACCTGTAAAGCTATTCAAGTATATACGTAGACCGCTAAGAGCCTCGAGAATACCAGGAACTATCTTCCTCTTCAGACTCAGAGTACTCGTACCTGCACCAACTTAAACCCGGAGGAACTCGTCATCATCCACCTTCCAGACACTCAGTGCGATCATCGGTGGGACTCCGGACTCCACCTCCATGGTCATGGCCATGCCGCGCTGTCCACGAGTCTTGTTTCGTCCTGTTTCATTCTTATAGTCTGCATCTGCTCAACCTCTGACCGTGTGATCTCTCTGCGAGTCCTGTGCGTTGAAAAGCCTAAGCATTCGCTAATTCAAAATCTGGGGAGCTTAGCATATTACGCCATCTGCACCAGAATCACGCACATCTCCACATCCGTCGTTAGCCCTTGTCTTTTTGGGAAACAATTCCTTTGATTTTTAATTATCATTTTCTTTTTTGGAACTTGACCTGACCTCACTGTGCCTGTCATAATGTCCACTGAGTGATCAGCGGCTCTGTCAGTTTATATTCTACTCCCTGACCACATTTTTTTGGGAGAAATCTTGTCATCGATCTATCATCTTTCCTCCCACCCTTCCCTCCCTCCCCCCGGGCTCCCGAGTCCCCCTCCCGATCTCGCCTTCTACGGGACATCATGGCTGGCGAGAGTATCAAGAAGGCCAGCAATGCCTTGGCCAAAGGCCTGGGCATTAAGGTCGCCTACCGTGACCCTATGGGTGCCAATGACCCCGTCACTCGCGGCGAGTCCGCTTTCTCTGTCGGCACCGTCGACACCTATTCTTACAACGAGCCCGAGCCCACCAGTGTCGAATGGATCCGCGAAATCACTCCTTCTTGCCACCAATTCGTCAACTATCTCATTTCCTTATTCCCCTTCCTTAATTGGATTGGCCGCTACAATATGCAATGGTTCCTGGGTGACCTAGTAGCTGGTATCACCGTTGGTGCCGTCGTTATTCCCCAGGGTATGGCATATGCCAAACTGGCGGAGGTGCCAGTACAGTTTGGTCTGTATTCGTCCTTTATGGGTGTTTTGGTCTATTGGTTTTTTGCTACGTCCAAAGACATTACTATCGGAGTGAGTTCGAATCTTCCCTTGACAGCACAACCTTGGACGGATTAAATTAACCTATTATTCTCTAGCCCGTGGCTGTTATGTCCACATTGACTGGCGAGATTGTGCTTCAGGTCCACTCCCAATACCCTGACGTTGAGACGCACGAGATCGCTTCCTGTCTAGCTGTAATTCTAGGTGGTATTGTCTGCTTCCTGGGTCTTATCCGCCTGGGATTCATTGTCGATTTCATTCCTCTTCCCGCCATCTCTGCATTCATGACTGGTTCCGCTCTGAACATTTGTTCTGGTCAGGTGTCGACTATGCTGGGTGAGACCGCTGGTTTTTCCACTCGCGGTGCAACCTACCTGACCATTATCAACACCCTCAAATATCTCCCCACTTCGACAATCGATGCCGCTATGGGTGTGACAGCTTGTGCGATGTTGTACATCATTCGCGCTGGCTGCACATACGCCGCGAAGAAGTACCCAGCGAAGGCGAAGATTTGGTTTTTCGTCTCTACCCTCCGGACAGTCTTCGTCATTCTGTTTTACACTATGATCAGTGCCGCTGTGAACCTGCACCGTCGTGACGACCCTCTGTTTAAACTCCTGGGGGTTGTTCCTCGCGGTTTCCAGAATGCTGCTGTGCCCGTTATGGACACCAAGATCATCCGTGCGTTCTCTGGTCAGCTTCCAGCTGCCGTTATTGTCCTCTTGATCGAGCATATCGCCATTTCCAAATCTTTCGGCCGTGTGAACAATTATACCATTGATCCATCCCAGGAATTCGTTGGTATTGGCGTCACCAATCTCCTTGGTCCTTTCCTTGGTGGCTATCCCGCGACCGGCTCTTTCTCACGTACTGCCATCAAGTCCAAGGCTGGTGTGCGTACCCCACTGGGTGGTTGTATCACCGCCATTGTGGTGCTTCTTGCCATCTACGCCCTCCCTGCCCTCTTCTTCTATATCCCTAATGCATCTCTTGCCGGTGTTATCATCCACGCTGTCGGTGATCTGATTACTCCCCCCTAATGTGGTGTACCAATTCTGGCGTGTGGCTCCTCTTGATGCGATCATCTTCTTCATTGGAGTTATCGTGACTGTCTTCTCGTCTATTGAGGATGGTATCTACTGCACAATCTGTGTTTCTATTGCGGTTCTGCTCTTCCGCGTGGCAAAAGCCCGTGGTCACTTCCTCGGCCGTGTCACCATCCACTCAGTTGTGGGCGACCACCTGCTGGATGGCGATGGCAAATACGGATCCTTTGGAGCAGCCAAAGTTCCTTCGGACGACGAGGAGGATCACACTCGCTCCATATTTCTGCCCATTAATCGCACCGATGGCTCAAACCCCGAGGTCGATATCGAGCAGCCTCACCCCGGTATCTTCATCTACCGCTTTTCCGAGGGATTCAACTATCCCAACGCCAACCACTACACCGACAACTTGGTCAAGACCATTTTCAACAGCACCAGACGTACCAACCCTCACGCATTTGCCAGACCGGGAGACCGTCCTTGGAACGACGCGGGCCCGAAACGTGGCAAGGAGCCAGAAGACGCTCGGGATCCCCGACCCCTCTTGCAAGCTATCATTCTCGACTTCTCTTCCGTCAACAATGTTGATACTACCTCGGTTCAAAATCTGATCGACGTGCGCAACCAGCTGGACCTGTTTGCCTCACCTCGCTCCGTGCAATGGCACTTCGCCCATCTCAACAACCGCTGGACCAAGCGTGCACTCGCCGCTGCCGGCTTTGGATACCCGACTCCCGCCTCAAACGAAGGCTTCCACCGCTGGAAGCCCATTTTCAGCGTGGCCGAGATCGAGGGTAGCTCCTCGGCTGCTGCTCACGCCGAGATGATGACCAACGAACGGGCACAACACGAGGATCTGGAGGCTGGTATCAAGGCCGACAACAAGACTGCCGAGCTCGAGACCGACCCTATCGACGCTTCGTCTGAGGATAGCACTGTGATCCGCGAAGACAAGCTTCAACGCGACTTGACCGACAGCAAGGCGTATCGTTCCCGCCGCAAGGTCGCCCTGGTCCAGGGCATGAACAGACCCTTCTTCCACATCGATCTGACCAGCGCTCTCCAAAGTGCTGTAGCCAACTCGTCCGAGGAAGTCCCATTGTAAGGGATGGCCGAAAAAAAGATATCTCATTTTTTCTTGGAATGTTTCCGCATTGCAATATTTGCATCTTATCATGGATATTCCCTGGTTTGGAGTCCAGTTGATTTCGATATGCCCCGGATATGATTTGTTAATATCTCTTCATTTTTTGTTTCCTCTTTCCATCATCTCCCATGCTTGATGTTCTGGAGATTTCTGGCGCAGGGGAGCTTTTCATTTCACATATCAGGCCATACTGGCCTTGGCGCATATATTTTTGTTCTATTGGGCTGGGTTTTGGGCCCAAGGATGTACATCAGTTCCCCGAGGGAACTTTCCATTGGACATTTTATACTGGGCTTGGTCCCATTGATGCATTACTAGGGATACCCTCAATATAGACCGCGTGATTTTCCTCATCAAAAGTTGTTCTAGTAATGATTCATATTCGATTGACGTAGCTCCGTAACCTGTAAACCAGTCATTTGGTCCTGACATGGGGTGAGACTCCGATGACATGCATCCTGCGGCCCGTCCCCGGCATACTCAGGAGCAATGTACATTTTCTCGGCTTGACAGAATGGCTGGATACTGAATGAATACTTTATCAAAATGCTCTACAACAGCAGAAATGAATATTCTGTACTCAGATTCGTAGCTGTGAGTCTCAACGCTTCCAAGGTTTCTACCGGCCTTCCTATATCGGGTACTTGGGCACTTTGCCTGGAATATCCCTCCCCTGTCCTCAAAGATTGATACTAGTAATTCCCGCTCTTTCTGGAAACATTTACTTATAATGTAAAGACGGTAGAATGTTCCCTTGAACTTCGGATATTTTATCAAAGCCTGGAGGCAACTCTATATTCAGATTGAACCACCTCATCAAACGTAGTCAACCTTGGATGAAATCCTTCCTACGAAAAGATCCGAGTCCCACGTAATAACATAACAATATCCTAAAAAGGACGAAAGAGAGATCAAATCAGATCACCTCAAAACACCCCCAACACCAGTCCACCCAAGGACAAATCCACTCAGTGCCTCACTAAGAACACCACCACCAAACCAAACATCCCTCCAAGCACCCTTTCTCAGAACAAAGCCACCGCGCTTCTTACTGCTCTCAACCAGATCCATGCGCACAACACCATCCTTGCCAATAGCCACCGACCCCTCAATCTCACCCCCGTTACTGCCGGGGAAGAACGCGCCCGCACCCGCACCGGATGAGCGCTGGATGAGGGCTAGGTGGAAGAGTCCGCTGACGAGAACGGTGCCGAGGAAGTAGAAGGCGAAACCGGTAGCGGATTGGAGTGCTAGGATTCCGGCGGAGAGGCCGAGGAGGAAGGCTGTTAGGCTGTGGAGGGAGGAGAGGACCTGGAGATGGATAGATAGGTTAGTTTGGCTTGGTTTGGCTCGGGTGGTGGTGAGTCTCTACTACTACGTAGAGGGGTTGGAACGTACCCGGTTGTTATGTTGAACAGCCTCTGGGACGAGAGGGTTGATTAGCAGGGAGAGTTCCTGCTTTGTTGGGGCCATTTTGGGCTTGTTGCTGCTCGAGTGTGCTTGGTGTCTTTTTGGCGGGACCTTGGGGTCTCAGGGTGGTGCGACCGATGTCGGTTTTGGAATCTGCTTGAGATGAAGCAGGTGAGGACGGCGGTAGATCCTAGCCCTTCTGCTCGGCAATTGGGTTGCAGCAAAGAGGAGTAGTTCTCTGTCCTCGGGTTGATTGTGCAATGTTGGAAGAGGGAGGTGAGGCGGAGGTCGGATGTGGTTTCCTATGCGTGCACGGGCCACACTGCGGTTAGAGAGAGCAAAGGTGCCAGTGGTCTACTCCGAGGTCTACTTCTACACAGCTACATTGGAACCATTTCAACGTATATAGGCACAGTGCGAAATCATGACATATCTACGATTAACCCCGCCATTTTCAATGTTCAGTAGCCCGAAGTTTTCCCTCATGAATCCGTTGCTTGACATCACTGCGTTTGATACATGTCGAATTCCACATCCATCGTATTAGGGTGAACCACCAAAGATCATAGAACGAATGAAAAGAAGATAAAATAAAATGAAAATGAAAATGAAAAGAGAAGAGAAAAAAGAGAATAGAGAAATAAAGGGCAAAAAGGCACACATGATAGATATGCGAATGCCGGGTTCCATGCAAATCGCTGGGATAGCAGGTTAGTTTTGCATGAGTCAGGCACCATGCTGGCTCATTGCATACAGGGCTCAAGATCAAGCATCCTCGAGCTTGCCGTCCGCGCGGGCATCTCGAACTTGGTCAAAGACCTATTATTGAATTGTTAGCTTCGAGTCCGAGCAAAGTGAAGAGAAGAAAACACTAACCTTCAACATCTTGTTGCGCGCACCCAGCGCGTTGACACCACGGTCTTCCAGAGCCTTGTCGTCAAGTTCGACCAACTCCGTCCACTTGAGGTCCTTGAGATGGTCGGTATACTTGTGTAGCCGAAGGGATCGCAGCCAGCTGGGGATATCCTTCAGGAGAGCAGGGTCGGTAGGGTCTTCGGGGGGGCTTGGAGCTTCCACGTCGACCACGCGGCGATCGGCCACGGGTGACTTCGGAGTGGTCAGACAAGTAACCTTCGCCGCCCAGACCGAACTGCCCGATACCTAGCGATGCTAGTCCGTTGCCCATGAGAGGGTTGTTCGGATCGTAGGCGGCCAGGAATCCGTTGTTCTGTGGCGAGGTGAAACTCATAGGGTTGAGACCACCGCCTTGCATGGCAATACCAGGAGAGGTTGGGCGAGAGCGACGACCAGCCATGGCAGCTTGTTGCTGAGCTTGCAAAGCGGCAAGCTGTTGGGCATTGAGTAGCTGTTGGCCCATCGATCCGTGCAGACTTGGACTGGCCAGGCCTTGGGAAATTGTTGGGTTGGCAGCCGAGTTTCTGCCCTGACCATCGTTGGAACGGGCCCGGCGGTACTTGCGAGCGTCATCCAGAGCAATTCGGTTGTTCACGGTTGACAAAGCCGCCAGCTTCATCGCAGTCGCGTTGGCCACCATGTCCGCCTGGGAATTCTGGTTTTGCTGATTCTGCTGGCCGAATGTCGCGGTCATGGGGGTATTTGTCATCGACGCCCAACTGTGGTTCCCGACATTGTACGGCGAGAGGAGGGGTGGCTCGATATCAGGGGCAGGGATGGTAGCGGTCTGCGGGAGAGGGGAGCGCATGCCAGAAGGCTGACTGAATTGGCCCATGGGCTGATGGCCCGATGACGACTTGGGCCGGGCGATCGGAGGCTGTGTATCCGAAAGTCCACCACGCTGAGCCCATGGCGATGCCGGGGGCTGGCCCAGGCCGTCGGAGTTGTTGTCAGGAGCAGAGATGGTCGGGGCAACGAACGAGCCACGGTCTCCAAAGACAGCGCTGTTGCGGTTGGAGGGAGGGCGTTACCGGTTTGTTGCGTGAATTCCGCCTTCTTCTTAGCGATTGCGGCGGCGGCATCGGGGAACATGGCATTAATCGTAGAGGAATCGAGACCCGAGTTGCGCTTCGCGCCTGGGGATGGCGGGGGCCGGCCCAAGGAACTCCGTGATGTGTCCATATTGAGTTTCGACATGGCATCGCTCAAGCGGCTCGACATGGCATCTAATCATTGAAATAACGTTAGAAAGCTGGAATTCTCATACGTGAATAAGAACCTGTGGCCGATTCTCCATACCTTTTTCACCGAAGTTGGCGGGGAAAGCAGTCCAGACATGGGGTGGCCCTGGGACATCTGCTGCAGAACCTGGATGAAGAAGCGAATCTGCACCTGGGTAGTCTGCTGCAGCAGAGCATACAGAGCGGCGGTCCGCTCGGCCTCGCTCAGGACACGGAACCATTGCTCGATGGCACTGAGTTCATCCTTGAAGTCCTGGTCGAGGGTGGCAGCTGCCATCTCCTCCAACGTTGTCTCATACTGATCGATATCCGCCAGCCACTGCTGGGCAGCCCGGTCCAGCGCATCCTCCGTCGAGTTCTGGCCTTGGGACTGTTGGTTGAAGAAAACCTCCGAGGATGGACGCAAGCTGCGAGAGGACAGCGGCGAGGGGAATCCGGACATGTCGGCCGAGGCTCGCAGCTGGTGCGTACCTAGGTTGCGAGCCGACGATGGGGGACGCAAGGTGGAATTCGGGGCAGCCTCCGGGGTGCTGTTGCGGTTACCGATGATATGGCTAGCCATGGCTCACAGGTTGATAAAGGTGAATAGTAAATACAGTCGGGGGAAAAGATTACTGCAAAACACCTGCAGCACCTGCTGAGTTTGCGTAACAAAATAGAATCAAAAAAAGAACCTGACCGAACAGGCCGGGATTTCGACAGTTGACAGAGATGGATTTCGAAGCCTGAATTTCGACTACTAGGCGACAATGATTGGGGCACAGACCAGGCCAGTGGCTGCACCTCGAATTTTTTGGAGGGGGGGGGAAGCAAACACACAGCTGAGAGGTCGTGAATATTAGGGAGATCCGAACAAAGGAAAGTCAGGGACCAGGAGGCAATAGTGTGTCAAACACAGCAAGCCAAAGCCTAGAACCCAAAGAAAAGAAAAAGGGGAGAGGAGGGGGGGGGAGGGGGAGGGAGGGAGAAGATCGAAGATGATGGGGGGAAGAGAGGAGAATGGGAAGAAGTGCGGCGGAGAGGCTTTTCGGGTTGCAGTCACGGGGTTCCGCACGGAATGAAGAAACTCACACTGACTCGGAACTCGTTCCTTTCGACATCAACTTAACACTTGACACTTGACAACTCTCCTTGCGCGCGTCCGCTGCGATCCGCCTTATTATCGGTGCTGTGATCAATCGATTGGCCAGGTGGAGTCGTTACTATGAATAATCGGGGCTGCTGCATCTGAAACGCCCTGAAGAGACTCAGTGCGCGCGTCTATACGGTCTGGGCCATGGTCCCAGCAATCCGGTTCACAACGCACGTTTCCTTTCTTTGATTCTAGGGTCACGACCTTTGCGATACCAATCATCATTGAATACCATTCAGCCTGTTCGCCCCTCGGCTATTCTTTGTCCTTGAAAGCTGAGAGAGCTGAGCCGGCGTTGCCGCCGATCTGTTGTTATGGCTAGCTCGGATTATCCGATGGGCTCGATGTCCCCACGGAGGAATCGATGTATCCAGACATCGATGAATCCATCCACTATCCATGGCAAGAAGAACAACAAATTATTCCGGAGGAATTCTCCACGTCCGTGATCGATCCTCGTTTATACCAAGGCTTGGCTTCACAGAACGAAGAGCTTGCCGTTGACCAGGTTCAGCCAGATGATGAGGATCCAACGGCCCATCTGGAATCCAATGGTTTCCTCACAGATGAAGATTCAGACTTTGAATATAACGAAGAGGATGCAAGGTAACGTGGTTTGACCGAACAGAATGTCTTTTTCCTTGCCCTGACGAATAATTCAGTGACTCGAATGAGTCCGATGAGTACCCAACAGAGGATGACTCTGAAGACTCGGGCGCCGCACGGCGACGTCGTCGTCGTGGCGGAGGGCGCTTCTCAGGCCGGTATGGTGCTCGTGGTGGCAAAGGCATTAAGAGAGGCCCGCGAAAGCCAATGGAACCAAGCCCGGAATTCAAGATTCTTCATTCAGATGCCACCTCTGCCTTCATTGATGGTGATTATGGACGCGCCATCGAACTTGTGATGCGCGCCATTCAAATCAACCCCGAAATGTTCCCAGCTCACTCGCTTCTTTCTGAAATTTTCCTGGCCCAAGGCGAGAAGGACAAAGCTTTGGCTGCCCTATGGAATGGTGCTCACACTAGACCTAAAGACACCAAAGTATGGCTTCAGGTAGCCAGACTTATTCTCGGTCGCGCCGGTATCGATCGAGAAAATGCACTCCCGGATGTTGTTTACTGCTACAGCCGTATCATTGAAATCGATCACAAGAACTTCAATATTCGGTTCCAAAGAGCAGCTGTATACCGAGAACTTGGATACACGGGTAGGGCAGCCGGAGAGTACGAGAGAATCTTGAAAGAAAAGCCCCACAGCGTTAGAGCGCTTCGACACTTGGCTGAAATATACATCGATCTCAATGACGTTGAGCGGGCGCTTGAAATTTGGTCCGAGAGTATAGCTTACTATCGGGACCATCCTGACAAGGTCCGAGGCTTCTCATGGTCTGATGTCAATATCTATGCCGAGCTCTTCGGCTATGTTAATAAACACGCAGAAGGTCTTGCAGAGACGAAGACCCTCTCGAGATGGTTTTTGGGTCGCAAAAATGATGACCCTATGTGGGAGAAGTTTGAAGACGATGACCGGGAATGGGACTCCGAACATTCCCCCGTCGAATCAAGACTAGTGGCTTTAATCCCGACCAGTGGCCTTTAGATTCCTATGGACTCGGTCTCCCTCTTGAGTTGAGAATCAAAATGGGCCTCTTTCGCTTAAAGATGGGCGAAAAGCACCATGAAGAAGCACTGGTATGTCCCAGTTGAGCCCCAGCTACCCAAACCTAAAAGTCATGCCACTAACATGTTCTTTAGCATCATTTCGAATGGTTAAATCCAGATGACACTTCAGAAAATGCTCGCATTTTTGACTACGGTGATCTTTTCAGAGAGGTTGCGGATGCCTTGCAGAAAGTAGGCTTGTTCCAGGAAGCCTTTCGGTTCTACTCGCCGATTCAACAAACGACCGAACATGCGGATCTCGGTTATTTCATGGCAATGGCGAACTGTTGCGTGGCGTTGGGCAAGGCAGAAGACGCAGAAGCTTACTATCTTACGGTGGCTGAAAACGACCCAAGGCACATGGAATGCCGTGTAAGACTGGCGACTCTCTACGAGGGAGACTTTGGCATGAACGACGAGGCCCTGAAGTATATCAACGAAGCCTTGTTGATCGGTCGACAGGAAGGCAGGACTCGGCGAAGGAAGCGAGATGATAATAGGCTTGAACAGCTCGCTATTGAGTTCCAAAGGGGTCCTCGTCCCGTGGGCTCACCGCTGGCCGGAACTGAACCGACTGGCAATGGAGATCGTTCCAAGAATGCACAGAACAGAACAGACGACATCCGGTTCCTGTTCGATAAATTAAAGGAGCTTCATCCCTTCATTAAAAAAGGAGACTCGGATGTGGTCGAAGATTGGCTTGACATCGCTGATGCTCTCCTGCGAGATTTCAGGACCAACCGAATTTTCTATCCTATGGCCCGGACGATGGAATTCCAGGGATATACTGGCGACTCACAACGAAAGGGCAAAAAGGGTCGTACGTTGCTCGACGAAGCGCAAGAGATAGCCGTACGTCTACAAAAGGCAATGGGTAAGACTCAATGGAAAATGTCCCTGTCAGTAGTTCGGAGCTAATCTTCATCAAAAGGTGACGGCACTACCGAGGAGGACTGGTCGGATACCATTCCAACCGATTACCATGGCATTCCCTTCGACGAATGGCTCGATATTTTCCTCGAGTATTCTCTTCTTACGACCAAGCAGGGCGATCCAGAAGAAGCATACGATGCACTAGACGGAGCAGCAACTGCAAGCATTTGGTTTCATTCCAAACCCAAGTCTCGATTGATTCACACCTGTTGGTTCAGTACGCGATATCCTCTCTTTATCTATGAGTAAAGCTAATGAATCATAGCCTGTGCACTTCATGCCCAAGACGAAGAAGCTCTCGCTGGCGAGGCCCGGTGGTTTATGAAGGAATATCAGTTTGTGACAGATACCTATCGTTTATTTGCCATGCTGAGCAACCTGGCCGGCGATCCCCACAAATCCTTATTTCACTCTTCCCCAAACATGAAATTCATGCTTCGCCAGATCAAAGCAATGGACTTTACCTTGCCCGGGATGCCTCAAAGCCCCAGCCTCGACAGTCTGTTTGGAAAGAACGCGCTGCCCTATCTACGAAAAACGATGCTGGCGAACCCATCCCAGCCGAGGAACTGGATGTCGCCCTCCTTGTGCTTTACGGCCATATTCTGTATTCCGGAAACAGCTTCTACCCGGCCCTGAACTACTTTTTCCGCGCATATGCTCTGGACGATCAAAACCCAGCCGTCCTTCTCTCCATTGGACTGTGCTTCATTCACCACTCTATGAAACGGCAGGCTGAAAATCGGCACTACCTCATCATGCAGGGCTTATCTTTCATGGACGAATATCGTCGCGTTCGTGAGAAAGCCGGAACTCCTCTGCAGGAGAAGCAAGAAATGGAGTTTAACTTTGCACGTGTGTGGCACAGTCTCGGATTGCTTCATTTGGCAGTAAATGGATACCAAAAGGTCCTCGACCTCAGCAAGAGAATTCAGGAAGAAAACCAGCAGTTGGTCGAGAACCATGCTGAAGACGGTGGGGACATCGATACGGTCATGGGCGAGGCAGATACCCCTCTCCGAAATTCCACGCAGGAGTCCCGGCGTTTTGTTGAAGATTTCTCTCCTGAAGCCGCCTATGCCCTGCAGTGTATCCATGTTCTCAGCGGAGATTCGAAGACTGCCAAGGGTGTTACTGACCAATGGCTTGTTGTTTGACAGCTGCTTCCCCTGGGGAGCATTGCTGCCATAAAAAAGAACTAGCTAATTTCCTTAATGAACAAAACATCAAGTTCTAAGACAACAGACGATCTGTGTGTATACTTCAGGCCCTCGGACAAGGACTCTCAATCTCCACTAGCGGGAGGGTATGTCCACGTGCTTGAGGTTCGCCCAGCTACAATATTCCGAATACTAAGCTTTTCTTTATTTCTCTATCTTGCTTCATTGCCAAACCTTTCTTCCCTCATACCAAGTCTCCTTAATCGAAGCCTTCAAAAGAGTATTTGCATCCCACTCCATGTCCACAACAATGAAATCGGCCATCTTTCCTACGGCCAGCGTACCCACCCGTCTCTCCGAGAACACACTTCTAGCGGCACCTCCGGTCGCAGCTACCACCGCTTCACACACGCCCAGCTGGAAATGTTTGTTCACTATATCAGGGTATTGGGGGTCTCTCGATGAGCGACGAGTGGTGGCAACATAGAGGTTCTGCATCGGTTCCCATGGTGATGTAGGGCTATCAGTTCCAATCGCCATCAAAGCCCCGGCATCAGAAAATTCCCGATAAGCAAATGCTCGCTGGCATCGGTCATTTCCTAGGAGACGAGGCCATTCTCTAAGAATAGAGGGATCGGCATGCACCGGCTGGATGGATGCCGTCAGGCCTAGAGCACCGAGTCTCTTTGCATCTTCTGGAGATGCCAGCTCGAGGTGCTCAATGCGATGTCGCCTCCCCGGGGTAGCATGCTTCTCGATCGCATCAATTGCCATTTTGATCGCCCCATCACCAATGGCATGAAGGGCGATTTGAAGGCCATGGCTATCTGCCTCCTTAACAACTAGATCCAGATCTTCTGGCAGCCAAATGGGAGGAGGGGAGTCCACGGGGGCATATGGCTCAGATAAATAGGCCGTGCAGGCATCGATGATACCGTCGCAGATGAGTTTGATGCCAACGATTCGGAGATCTGGGTTTGTTGTACTGTTGTACTGCTGTGAAAGCTCAAGAGCACGTTGAACTTGCCTCGAGTTTTCCTCAGGTTTATCACTTGGCTTGATCAGCCAGTATGCAGCGATACGCATAGGAAGAGTGGGTTCCCTTTTCCGCAGAGTGACTAGCGCATCCCATGCATCTTCGTCCATGGCCATCTCCACCAACCCAGTATATCCTGCAGCATTATATTCTGAAATACCAGCCCGCATGGCCTCAATTCGCTCTTCCATCGGGCTCGACATTGCCTGGTATGGCCAGATAATAGACATCATGGCACCTTCATCAAGTACCCCAGAAGGCTTTCCATTCTCATCACGGTGGATCTTGCCTCCGGCAGGATCTGGCATATCGGCAGCACCAAGTTTCTTCAGTGCCGCATTGTTGCACCAGCAGGAGTGCTGGGAGCTTGCATCGATGAAGATAGGTCGTGGATCAATATCGTCTATCATCGCAGCTGTGACCCCATCTGGCGTCATATAATGGAACCAGTTCTTGCAAAGAATAGTCGGGACATCTGGGTTTGCAACAGCATACTCATGAATAGTCGATCGTATATCATCCAGAGACTTGCAATGCTTCAGGTCAAGTTTGCGAAGGGACTGGCCGAGGAGAAGAAGGTGCATATGGCCATCAATGAAGCCTGGCAGAATAGTCTTTTGCTGCAGGTCGCGGGTTTCAAAGCTCCCACCAGTGCTTGCGGTGGTTACCTCGGCCTGTGATCCAATCGCTGCAATCTGGCCATCTTTGACTAGCATGGTATCGGCGAAGGTCGGTACATCATGATGGCCTGCATTCTCGTTGGTCAGGATTCGACCGTTCAGGAATAAGATATCGGTTGACATTTTGAATGATGTACTAGGAAGATCAAAGGAGGATCATATTTCTCAAATCAATGTGAATTTAACAGTCCGCTATTCCCGGCGTGGGGTAACACTAGAGTGACTTGGCATTCATTCCGAGCTTCACTTGAAGCTCGGAGTGGATCCCGCTTCGAATTTCCTTCCGAGTATCACACCTGCCCGTCAACTTCTGATACATTTCATCTATATCAAGACAATAAAAGTGAAGATCAAGCAGTTCTCTTGGGTTCGGATCTCCCCCGAAGCGAATTCTTCCCCCGAAGCTAAGTCTATCATATCCTATCATCCTATCTCAGACCAATTACGACCGAATTGACGCTTTGTTCGGTCGATGATTCGGTTAAGATCGAAGACTCCACTTCACGCCCCCAACAGATCCCCAGTTGAAATGACAAAAATGCGGAGGGAAATCCCCAGATTCCCCCCAGTGGGCCCCCGCGGAGCCGGCCCGGCAATAACCACTGGTGTCAAAACAGCTTCTCTTCGCCAATCTTCCCAGCGAAAATACTCATTCTTTTGGTCTCCGTTCTCGAAAGTCCAATCTATATCCCATTTCATACCACTCAGTGAACGATGTCACACGATATCAGAGCTACCTCTGACAATAGCGTCAATTTCAAAAAGGAGATGCCTCATGTGATTGAGCCCGACCAATCTGAGGGCGAGATCATCGGGAAAGTTCTTCTGCAAGAAGACCATGAGCGAGCCATTCAAGGAGACCAGCATTTCCATCGTCTTGGATGGAAACGCCTCACAATTGTGCTCATTGTCCAATCAATTGCATTGGGCAGCTTGAGTCTCCCTGCGGCATTCGCAACACTGGGAATGGTCGCAGGAATCATCTTGACAATTGGGCTGGGAGTCATTGCGATTTATGCCAGTTATATCATCGGTCTTGTGAAGCTGAAATATCCCCACTTACCTCATTATGTTGACTTTGGCCGTCTTTTAATGGGTGGTGTTGGCGACAAGATCTTCGCTGTCGGCTTTGTTGCCCTTTTGACCTTGACAGTGGGATCGCATTGTTTGACCGGCAAACTTGCACTTGCTACCATTACCGAGAGTAATGTTTGCACCCTCGTTTTCAGTGTTGTCTCAGGAATCATACTCTTCGCCTTTGCCGTTCCTCCTTCCTTCGCCGAAATCTCAATCTTGGGGTACATCGACTTTGCTTCCATTATAGTGGCAATTGGGATCAGCGTCATCGCAACTGGTGTTCAAAGCCACGAGTCAACAAGTGTTTCATCGCCATGGTCGGCATGGCCTAAGGAGAACTTGACGTTTAGCGAGGCTTTTGTGGCTATCTCAAATATCGCTTTCGCCTACGCATTTTCCTGTGCCCAGCCATCTTTCATGGACGAGATGCACACTCCGAAAGACTTTACGAAATCCATAATGACATTGGCAACCACACAGATGACGATATATACTCTTACAGGGTCACTCATATACGCATTTGTTGGACAAGATGTTCAGTCACCGGCCCTTCTATCTGCCGGTCCCCTTCTTGCGAAGGTCGCCTTCGGAGTGGCATTGCCTGTCATTTTTATCTCTGGCTCCATCAATGCAACCGTTGCCTGTCGCTTCATTCATGGGCGTATATATCAGGACTCGATTATTCGCTATGTCAATACTACCAAAGGATGGGTGACTTGGTTGACGGTCGTGGCCTTGATCAATATTCTCGCCTGGATCATTGCCGAGGCAATTCCCTTCTTCTCGGAACTGCTCTCGATCTGCGGCGCGTTACTCGTATCTGGTTTCTCGATCTATCTACCACCTATCCTATGGTTTTTTCTACTCAGAGAAGGCTCTTGGTCTGAAAAACAGAACATTCGCCATGGTATCTTGAACCTGATTGTGTTCATTGTCGGAATCACCATTCTCGGGTGCGGAATGTACGCAAGTGTAACAGAGGTGGTGAGTTCTTCTTCTCCTTGTGGAGGCCCCGTATTCCGAAGCTAACTTTGACAGATCTCTAAATTCCGTACTGGTTCTCTTAACCGACCATTCTCATGTAACGCTGGATAAAAGTTGAGGTCTCTTAACTATGAGTTGTGGTCAGCCTATATAAACGACGCGAAGGATTTAGGCAGTATGGAAGAGGTGCATGAGCATATTTAAGAATTCATATTGTAGCCTACTATTTACCCTGAGCATATATGAATGTTCAATTGCGTTTTACCCAAGTATTTAACTATCTGTATCCTAAACATGGGCAGACTTGCCAAGAGAACCGCGAACCTTAATGATTACCTCATCAGGCGCTTCGAGTTTCCTAATTCAACTCCCACCTTGGCTGTCTAACAAGCTCCGACCCCTCTCTTTAGACCTCACCTTACACAAAATCAACGATATGAGTTTGAATTATGCCTCTAGTATCACCGGGATGCTGGACCTGTCGCGTAAGACATCGGAGATGCGATTTGGAGACGCCTATGTGCAAAGAATGCACTGATCGACATGTTCATTGCCACGGCTATGGCCCTAAGCCGACATGGATGGATGGTGGACCGGAGGAGCAAAAAGAAAAGACTCGAATTAAAGCAGCTATAAAGGAAAATTTTCGCCGGGTCAAGAAGATGCAAGGTCGAGCCCGAAAAAGGGCTAATGACTTATCTCGATCATTATCCGAAACACTAGCACCAACGCAGGGAGACGAAGGGCTGCATGCTGTGATCACGCCTCGCAGTCCACCTTACTCGTCGCTACCAGATCATGAGCGAACTATATCGGAGTCTTCCGAGGATAATATCAACGCCTGCGCTCAAGACGAGACCGTTGAAGTTGATGCAGAATCTAGCCCGAGGTCCCTCGAGGGCAACACTAATATTGATTCTCAGGAGGCATGGCTGCTGATGCATTACCTCGATCAAGTATTCCCATGGCAATTTCCATATCATGATTCGCGCTCTCGCTTGGGAAATCGAGGCTGGCTATTCTCTCTTCTAATGAAAAGGGGGCCTCTCTATCATGCTGTGCTGAGCCTTGCGTCCCTTCTTCAAAGCGCAATGATTGGAACCGAAGAAGAGTTCCAACGAAAGCAAAGCGCCTGGGACCACCATTCAAGGGCTCTAAGGGAGCTTTGCGATCTTATGAGCGAAAAGGGAGACAAATTACGTGAAAACCATACTGAGCTGGCGGAGTTTTTGACATGCAGTTTCATGTTGATAAGTTTCGAAGTAAGTCAAGAATAATCCATTTATCTTGTATAAATGATCTAACAACGCTATTCAGGTATTTAGTGGCGCAGAACATGATTGGCTTGTACATCTTGACGCTGCTACGTCCGTAATGAATCTATTATCGGCCGAAGCGATTTTCAATCCTACACTCCACGACCGCAATAATAACCCAAGTCCCTTGATCGAGAATCTTCAACTCATAAAGGGTAGCGTGAAGGATGGTCTTGAATTTCTCTTGGTGATTGTAATATGGTTCGACCTTTTTGCCTGTCTTCCAACTGGGCGTGCTCCCCAACTTCCTTACCATCGCTGGCTCCAAATACCGGGTTTGAATACAGCAGATCTCATGGGATGTCATAATTGGGTGATGGAAATGATTGGAGACATTGCACAATTCTCCATTTGGAAGGAAACACAAGAAAAAGATGGGATACTGAGTATTCGTGAACTTGCCAACAAGGGCCAGGGCATAGAAACCCGGCTGGAAAATGGAATCCAGAGCCTTGATCTGGCCCGAAGTGTAAGATCATGACATTCATCGTCTTCATTCTGGCTCGGACTCTTACTGATGGAGTCATTTATAGGAACACCCAAATGCTGAGCCGTTATCAAATTGGGTTACTCGTCTCTTCGCGCTGGCCGCCTTGGTACTGCTACATAGTACCGTATCTGGCCCGTTGCCTGCGTTGCCCGAAATTCAGAGCGCGGTTGCGAGAAGTGTGATTGCGCTCCAGAATAGACCATGGACATACTCTCTCACTGGTTCGGTATGGGCACTATGTGTGATAGGTTGCATGGCGCAATCACACACTCGCTCATTTTTTGAAAACTTAATGTCCGACATGGTTCGCGAATCAGGACGGATGGGAAATAGTGCGACTGTTTTGAAAATAATCAAGAAATGTTGGCAGCTGCAGGAGTCTGGTCGGGCCGATAGCAGAAGCACTATGCGTGAAATGGGGATATCGGCCATATTAATATAAAAGTTATACTACCAGTAGAAAAAAAGTAACGAAACAATTTAAAATTGTCAGACGATGATTTTGCAGCTTTACTTAGAAGAATCTAGAGTCTGTACATACTTGGCAACGGGGTAGATACTCTTAACCTTCTCATTCAACTGGATAGTATGAACTTTTTGTTGACGAAAATATCAAGCCTCCGATTTATCTATTACTTGAGGGTGTTTGTGAGCGTATACCTCACAATTATATACGTAGACAGCGAGCACGAACCTGAATATATCAACAACTGACGAGCCAAGCCCCAAAAATTCAACAGTCTCCATCATAGTTTACATTGCGAGGATTACTAGCATCCTTCCTAGCCATTTGAAACTAAAGAAAGACGAATCAACCAAAATTGGGAGACAAATGGCAATGCGAGCCGGGTCGCTCCCAAGGGAAAGTCGAGCCGAGAGATTGATTCTCACCAATCATAACAGAGTTCTGTACTCTCGAAGTATGGAGGTCCGAGCATCAAATTGTAGCATTGATTGATATTATTCAATTGAAAAAGACCAAAAGCAATGCAACTTAGATATAAAGATCAATTTCAATCAAGATACTACCCAGGATTCATAATATTTTACCTTCTCTCTCTGCCTACCCTTTCTGCATTGTCGCACCTGCAAGATACAAATTTACTATGAGAATGCCGGCACTTGATGTTGAGGGGGCATCAAATACAATCAACCTTGTCGAGGCCAGTGTGAAGGAGCTGCTTCGTGCTTTGAATATTCGTGCCATATCCAGCGTGCGACTCGTCTCACTCTACTTGCACCGAATTGGATACTACGATTGTCGAGGTCCTTCGCTAAACTCAGTCTGTGTTCTGAATCCGAATGTATTCCAGGAAGCCCAAGAATCAGATGACTATCGGGCAACCGGTCAGCCACCAAGGCCCTTGGAAGGCATTCCATTCACAGTGAAGGACAGTTTCAAGGTCAAAGGCATGACCGTAGCCGCCGGGTCTCCTGCATTCAGCGAGCTGGTTGCCTCGGACGACGCAGCAATCGTTTCACTCCTTCGTGAGGCTGGGGCCATAATAATAGGCAAGACCAATATGCCCGCAATGGCAGATGGCGGGGACAGCGAGGACTTTATGGCAGAGCAGAAAGTCCCTATAATCCCATCTATTCTACCACAGCCTATGCATCTGGCTCCTCCAACGGGTCTGGCACATCAACAGCTGCAAGCTTCGCCGCTTTTGGACTTTCTGGAGAAACTGTTTCTTCGGGAAGGGCGCCGGCATCGAATAATGCGCTCATTGGATACTCGCCGTCTCGGGGTTTGATACCGAATAGAGGCCAATGGCCTCTTTACCCAACCTGCGATGTTATTGTGCCTCACACCCGAACAATGGAAGATCTGTTTACCCTCCTAGACGTCATAGTGGCAGATGATAAGATATCAGCGGAAGGGATTGACTTCTGGAGGAATCAAAAGTTCGTTCCGATCCCCCATGCATCAGACGTTCGACCTGTCAGCTTCAACTCTTTAGCGGATCCGTATTCACTTATTGGGAAACGTGTTGCTGTTCCCAGGTGCTTTATCGGTATCCAATCTGCAAAGCCGTCTCATGTCTGCACGGAATCTGTACAAAGGCTTTGGGAGAATACGTGTACGACGCTGGAGGATCTTGGAGCTACAGTCATCGAGTCCGATTTCCCTTTCCTCGAGCAGTATACCAAAAAGGACTTTCCAGGACAAAGCTGCAATGTGCCCGGGATGCCCGACGACTGGAATAGCATTGAACGCTGTCAAATGATAGCCACTGCCTGGGATGACTTCCTCCGACAGAACAACGACCCGAATTGCTCAAGCCTTCCCGAGTCTGACCCTGACAAGATCCATCCACATATCGCCCCGATGGACGATCCGATAAGATTTACCGAGGCAAACAATCAAGTTCGCTACTCTGATATGATTGATTTTGTCAGGAATCGGACAAGTTCGATTGATACACTTTCTGGCACAAAGGAAGCTATTCAGTCATTGGAAAATATGCGGAAGAGAGAATTCGAGGATTGGATGGATTCTAATGACTTCGACCTTCTCGCCTTTCCAACTAACGGAGATGTTGCATACGCCAATTGTGATGAGGAGATTGAACCGCTGACCCATGCTTTACAAGACGGGGTCAAGTATTCTAACGGTGGAAGATCTCTTAAGCATTGTGGTATCCCTTGCATCACCGTCCCAATGGGCACAATGAAGAGTAAACGCATGCCTGTGGGAGTCACATTTGCATCGAAGGCTTACTCGGACAACGATCTCCTTCGCTATGCATATTCATACGAAGCAGCAACTCATGCTCGAACAGTTCCATTGTTGACTCCCCCATTGCCGACAGACCATATTTCACTATCTACGTTTCCCCAAACGGGTTCAATGAAAGCCAGGCCTATTCTCGAAATCAGGACAGTAAGAAGTGAGCTGATAAAGGGAGTGAAGCAGAAGATCTGCCGTCGTGTCTCGATGGAAGGCACTGTGCTATCGAGCATTCCAGAGGTTGGAGTGTCTTCTGTCCAGATATTTGTCAACGGTGAAGAATCTCTCGTGGGCCAGTTCAGTCATGAGAAGTGGAGATGGGAAACGACGATTTCTCGACCGGAACGACTTGAGCGATTTCCAGAAATCGGCCAAGTGCCAAAGAATCAATTTCTGGTTGTTGTGATTGCTTCTTTGGCCAATGGACGATGTGCAGCTTCGATGTTCTTGTTAGATTGAATAATACATATATTTGGAAATATAGCTCAAACTTGTATACTTTCTAGCTAATTAGTATGTGTTGGAGCACATAGAGCCTCAGACATGCCCTAGGTCTATAGCAAATTTTAACCTAAGCACCAAAATGAAAGGTCTGCCCTAATGGTGTTAAAAGCTTGATCGGTGAGCCATCATTACTGAATCTTTTCCCACGAATAGAATTCTGGGTAGATCAATTATCAAGACAGTAGATTTGTACCCCTTCCAAAACAGAAAAGCAAAAATGCAACATACTATAATTTGCGTCGGTGTTGATATCTCAAAAAAATACAGAACAGACAGCAATCTGAATCGTTTCACTGATACAACCTTGCAAAACGTCATGTCCTAAATTGTACATGCCCGACGATATTACCATGCACACAATATTGACTGGGCCATATATTAAGTGACACCATCGTACATTGCATTAGCGTGGAAAATTAGATCTGATACCTTAGTAGTCGTGATAGACATGGCTGATGTCATCGTGCCTCTTGGCCCCGCACTGGAATTTCTGCTATCTTAACACATTTTGGGCAAACTTGACCTTCATGCAACATAGGCAGTCTACCACTAGCTCTAAAGTATAATATGAGGCCCTTGATTGTTAAGATAGCAGAAATTCCAGTGCGGGGCCAAGAGGCACGATGACATCAGCCATGTCTATCACGACTACTATGTTGCATGAAGGTCAACTTTGCCCAAAAATGTATTGTATTCGTTCTGTTGAGGAAGATTGATGGGATGAGATATAGTACAAAAGACGATACCGACTATAAACGGTAATTATGTTTATCCAACAAAAGGCAACCAGCAAGATCGTAAGAATCGTGAGAAATTTGCAAAGGGGTAAACGCAAAACTCAAAAAAAAATAATGTGATATAATATGTATCCAGGCTAAAAATCAAAACTCCTTGGCATGCGAATGTAAGACCCTTCGAAAAGCGGGGGCGCGGGTACCCTAGGATGAGACAGATAGTCAAGGGAAGTCAGACCCGAAAGTATCCGCCCCTCATACAAAGAGATCAGCAGGAGCCGCCTGTCATATCGAATATCAGTTTTGGGTGGGGGTGCTTCATGACGGAAGACAGGGCTGCAGCTTGCTCAAAGGGGGAACACTCTGTTCAACGTCATGGGTTGGCCACCTCCCATAAAATAGGCGCTTAAGCCGCCACGAAAAGAAACTCATGTGACTACAGCATATTCGTCACCATACAAGTCAGTATCATCAAAGAAGACAGCCGACTGGCGCCGCATCTCCTCCATAAGGCTACCCCTCCTAGAAGTCGGGGTCTGAGGGCGCGAGGAGGCGGTTGAGTGCGACATGCCATCAGAGAAATCCAGATAATGCGACTCGGACTTGTATCCAGAGTCGCTATTTCTTTCAGGTAGGTTTTCATCCAGTCGCTTAAGCAAAGCGTCAGATGGCTCAGACTCCGGGTTATGGCGCCGGCGTGATAGAATGGGGGACAATGAACGGCCCCCGGTGACGGAACATTCTTGGAGCCCTCTCATGATCGCCCTTTCGATATTAAGTCGATTTTTGATGAATTGAATTTTAGGGAAAGTACTTTGCTGACCGGTTTGAATCATGCGAGCGAGCCGCTCGGGCGTTGGATCAGAGAGAATGTGGTAGAAGTCGGAAGCGATGCTTTTAGGCCAGATCGTAATAGTGCCACTAAACTTTTGTAGCCAAATCTCACTCCAGTCTTGCCCCAGTGGCCGAGGTAGTAGCTCTAAATGGCGTAGGACTCGAAGCCATTTGTTAAGATCGAGTTTGATGTACTGCTCGATAGCGGTGCCGAGAAACCCACCACGCCAGCCACGTCCCTTGCGGTGGGTGACCGGTCGCCCCACGGTTCCTCTGGAGCTAAAAAAGAAGAGGTTCACATGCGGGTTGACCTAAAGCAGTATCAGTGGCTGACGTTTTCACCAAGGATAGAATCTTACCTGAGATACGATCGTGAAGTTTACATTGAAATGTAAGTTCAGCGCTTTGATGGGAATATCGGTCCGCAAGCTTCCGTCTTTCCACTTGTGCCCGAATGAGTATGGGGCAAGTGTACCGTCCCGCTTTTTGGTCATCAGAACGACCGGATTAAGGATGCCGGGCACGGCGGCTGAGGCGAGCACGGCACTCCAGATGACACAGTCGGGGCATGTCAGGTAGTTTGCCAAAATAGTAGGAGAATGGGGGTCCGAGGGCACGCAGGACACATTCAATATTCGGCCAGTTCTTTCATAGGCTTCTCGAAAAGTAGTCGAACCCCTGCAGAACCAGCTGCATTGTTTAGCCCAGTCTAGTGTATCGAACCGAGCACCTGTCTTCCACCAACGACGAACCCACGTTGTGATACCTTCGTGACAGGCGCGAATTCGGTGGGCAAGTGCCGGTACCAGCAGTTGCTTCAGCTCCTCGTCGGTTCGGGTTGCCACCAGGCCAGCAACTAGTGCTCCGCCCGATGTACCAGTAATGAGTTCTGGCAGCACACCATTATCCAGCAGCGCCTTGACTACCCCGAAGTGATAGTACGCAAAGGTAGCTCCGCCCGAGAGGCATAGCGCGGTCCTTCCGAAGTTGGTGTCGAGGTGCTTGAAATGCTGATATTTGGCTTCCCGATCGGCCTGTTTGCTGCTCAGTACCAGCTGAATACACGCATGTACCTCATCGATATATTCTTGAACCAGCTCCTTGGTTCCCGAATAGGCCTCGCTGTAGATTCGAGGGTTCTCCACTCCTGCAAAGTTGTTCTTCACACAAGCCTCTAACAGAGACCGAAGCTCTTCCACGGCCGGAATGTCGTTGACACTCACCCGACCATGCTCAGCCTCCCACTCCGTATCCGCCCTTGCTTTCTTCAGCTGTGCCACCACTTTATCAATCGTGATATGATCGTAGTAAGCGTACTCGTCGGTCTGCTTCCAGCTTTCATTGCCGAGATGGGCATCCAGCGCTTGGGCTGATTTCAACCAATCTGCATAGTTCTTTTGTACCGACAGATCCTTTCTCAGCCTCTGCCTCTTCCCCCTCCATGTGACCCATTGCTCATATAGGAAGATGTAGACTCTGACCAAAACGTAGCCAAGGCTCAGCACGGCGATCCATGCGAAAACCGTGAAGAGGAAGGGCCATTTGAGGACTGTGTATAGGACGCCTTCTCTTGTTTCATCCTTGCTTCGCTTTGGGTTCTTGCGGCGACCGCGGGTCTTGCGTACACGTTGGTTGATAGGACGCCAGTCGTTAAGGGCTACCAATGGAGAAGCTTCGGGGGCATTGAGTGCTTGTTCGAATCGACGTAGGTCGTCCGGATCGATGAAATCTTCGTCGTAATCTGGCAGTCCGACCGGGTCGAAGGGGTCGGATTGCTGCTTTTTCTCCTCAGAAGTCATGTTCACCATGTATGCATGGCGTTGAAAGCAGGAACAGGAACATCATGAAACAAAGCCGGTTGGGGAAGCTCCTCAGCATACGACGTCAGCGTCACGTGCCAAGACCCACCAGCCACTCCGCAGTGGGGGTTGAGTGTGGCTGGTGAATGAGTGTGGCTAGTGACCGTTGCCCCGCAGATAAGGAGACAACCTTAGGAAGGAAACAGCGCTATTGTTCTGGTTCAACCATGGTTCGATTCTTTGCATTGGCGGGAACTACCTTTTTTTTTGACTTTCATACTACCAGACCGCCTCGAAGGCGTATGAGGATTATCAGAAGATATTCCGACCCCTCCAACCCCTCCATCTACGAATATTGTCAAGAGACCGTGGACGGCAGTTGTTCCAGAGGTGTCGTCCGATTTCCGAGATTGTACCATCCCATCCTAACACGGAGTGTTACGCAAGAGCAATTGGGATCTGCCAATGGCCTAATCTCGTGCAACAAGATTCGTAGCTCCAATTCTTCGTCGAAACGTCGTGGAATACTAGCCCAGTCCTGATGATGGCATGGCCCGGACAGCCCGTACGGACAACCCGCATATTCTTTCTCCGGACTACACCCACACCCTCCTACCTTTCCCACTTCTCCTCCGGTAATATTCATGAATCATTGGACAATGACCCTCTCCCCGGATCTTCTACGTAATGTGTATCAGTCCACGTCCTGCAGGCTGCACCTACCCCTCCAAAAACCTCCGGCGCATGCACAGATGTATGGCATAGCGGCATCACTTCACCGCTAGATGGTAGCCCGTTCAGATCTCAACGGAGATGGCCATTGACCCCTGCTGATTGGCGGACCCAAGAAAATTTTGAGACAATATACCGAAATGGAGGGCCAGGAAAGCGTCCTATGGGCTGACGAGAAGTTAACTCTGTCGATTTAGCCGCATGCGACCCGGGCGCGATATCGGATGTGCAGCGGAACCCGAGGTCTCTCGCGCTAGCGGGCTGCACAGTGGCACTACACCTACGACTGTCGATTGGTTTGAATTGGGGGCCAACTTCAACCAACTGGCGGGCGTCGTCCACTCAAATACCTGCCTTTGGAGATCACCTGACCCTGTTCGTGGTGATAGCCTACATATTAGTGGGCCTTTGCTTAGGATTGGTCGCTAATTAGGCTCTTTTCGGCGTGACCCGGACTCCTTTCCCAGTCATCTGCGACCCTTGATGCTGATCATGTCGATCGACTTGAAATTCTGTGAATCCTTGAGTCAGGAAAAAAAAAAGCAAACATTTCCATGGCGTTGTGTTTCGCTCCTCCTGGGACCTCAGCCCCTCAGCTGTGTACAGTAGACCAGCGGCAAAAGGATGAATGCGACTGATCTCACGCAGACGATGGAGGTACAAAAACACAGAACTGGATGTAAACTGAATTTGTTGCGCGGTAGCCGCCTCTAATTCTACATTCGGTCTACCGTAGGGCCAGGGGGTTTAACACCCTGCCCGCCCCCGGGTTTTCTCTCTGGTGGCGGGCAACACTTGAGGGCTTTCAAAGATCCTATCCCGATGGCCTTTCCATATTCGTCTCTATGCATATCCC